AGGGGCACCCGGACCACCCCTCCCTCCCCACTGCCCCCCCCCAGTCCCCCCACACTGGTTAGCAACTGCTCACCCAGTACTGTCTGAAGGCAGGACCACTTGGAAAAGGAGGCATAGGACATTGGCCAGAAGAATTGAGACTGGGGGGACCCCTGCCAGCTGCCCCCTTGGTACACACTGGACACCACCACCTCTTTGGAACTGCCAGACCCTGGGGGTCCCCAGTGAGCAAAGGTCCATCCTTGCCCCTTTGTCTGTCTGTGAATAAATGTGAGTTCATGAAACGGGAGAGAGTGAGGCTGTCTGTGGAGGTGGGGGCTGTGGGGCAGAGGTCTGGCCAAGGCTGGGTTTGTCCAGCAGGCTCTGAGCTTGGGTTCTGAGTGAGAAGGACACAGAGCTTGGCCAAGGGAGATGCTCAGGAGAAAAAAAGGAGTGAGAGAAGAAAGGTCACCATCTGGCCAGCCCATAGAATCCTGTGTGCCTTCATTCAGCAAACACTTCCCAGGCACAGTGGGCTGCTACAGAGAAAGCCACTGCTCCTGAGAGGAGCTGGAATTCTAAGTCGGCTCTGTCCAGCACGGTTCAGCCACACCTGAACTGTGTTTCCTTTTGAATTGAGAATAAGTAAGTTAGTTTAAAGGAAAGTGGTTTAAATTAAGTCACACGATTTCAAATGCCCAGTAGCCCTCTGTGCCTGGTGGCTACCCTATTGGATGGTGGAGATCTAGAACATTCCATCATCACAGCAAGGTCTACTAGATAATAAACTGATTTGCAATATAGCATCAGGTATTGATAAGGGCTCCTGAGAAAACGACAGGACACTGATGACACAGCAGGACTGAGAAGGCAGGACCTCCAGTGAGGTGACATTTGATGTGAATGAAGAACCAAGCTAGGGGACAGCTAGGGCAAAGGCCGTGAGGTGGGTGGGCACCGTATATCTGAGAAACAGCAAGAAATTGAGGGCAAGAAGGGTTGTTTTCTACAAGTCCTCTAAGTGTTTTCTTTTTTTTTTCCCCCATTTGCTCTGCTCCTGGGAGTGGAGGGAAAAGGCTGTGTCCAAGCCAATCTTCCTTAAATCCTTTCTCATTCCTTTTATGAATGTCCTACCTTCCCTCAGAGCCTCATGGCTCTCTCTGCCCTGTGCAAAAAATGACATTGACCACTTAGGTATCTTCACACCTACAAGGCCAAGGAAGAAAGTGGTGAAATCATCCCTGTTTTCCAGGGCAACTAAGTGAGGCTCCAGGACAGAAGGTGTTTTCCCTGGTGTGACAAAAAGATTAGGCCGGGGGTGGGGCTGGGAGGGAAGCCAGGAAGATGATGATCGAGAGTTAGGGAGGGAGGTGACCATCACTCAGAGCCTTGCAGAATCCCCTCTGTCCAAGATTTAATACATCTTGGCTGAACCCTTGGAACAGTGCCTGACACGCAGTAAGCACTCAGTATGTGTTAGCCTGTATGATTACCATTCTGCTCCCTACCACCCACCCAGGCCTGGATGTTGAGAGCAGAGTGATGGTGAGCCCAGCTGCGCACCTGCCCTCATGAAGCTTATAGACCAACAGAAGAGATGGATAATAATCAAATATTGGCACAAAGAAATTAGGGTTTCCAAATGGGACCAGGTCTCCAGTGAACTAGATCCTATGGGAAGCTGTGACTTAGCCAAGAGAAATGAGGGACTGGGGTATGCTTTCATTACATCAAAGCTACTTCCCTCTACAGGACCCCTCAGTGGCTCCCTACTGCCGCATCCAAGTGTGAGCCACCATTCAGTGAGCACCTACCATGGCCAGACACCCTTTCAGCACAATCTCATGGACAAAACCCATTCAGGGAGATTAAATACCCCTATTTATAGAAGAGGCAAACTGAGGGGTCAAGCTAAGAAGTTATGTGTCCTACTTCTGCAATCACTACCATGAACCGAGCCTTTTGTAGTAAATGAGTTACTTCGTGACGAGGACAGAGGACAGCATTTGGCACCCGGGAGGAGGTTACTGCTATTGATGCTTTGTTATTGTTATTCTCCCAGGCTGGTGCAGACATGATTTCAGGGAACCCTCACCACCCTGCCGGGAACTAGGAAACACCCTCAGCATTTTCCAGAGGTGAAAACGGCACTCAGAGAGGAAGCTCCTTGTCTAGAATCTCATAGCTCGGAAACGGCGGGATTTGTATCCAGGCTGGAACAGCTGCACACCCTGAACCCTTAACCAGGCCAATATTACCCTCATGATCTGCTCCCAGCCATATCACCCACCTTTCAAG